AACATACTAAACAGGAAAATCTGTAAGCTTTTTCTCTATGAGCTAGAACAAGGATGTCCACTTTCTTTAGTCCTACCAAACATAGCACAAAATGTCCAAGACAGAGAAATCAGAATAAAATCAAAGGAATCCAGATGGAATAAAAAAATTTAAAGTATCCTGTTGGAAGATGGCATAATCTTATGTATAGAAAAGTTGAACACTTTACTGAAAACTACCAGAATTACTAAACAAATTCATTGAACTTGTAGAACACAAAAGAAACAATTTAAAATCAGTAGGATTTCTATACACACACTAACAACTATCTCAAAATGAAATTGAAAAACAATTTTATCCACAGTAACTGTAGTAACTAAAATTTGAAATAAAGTCTACCAAAAAGTTGAAACACTTTACATTATACTCTAAAGAGTATTAAATAAAAAATTAAATACACAGACGGAGAAATATTACTCATTAATGAATTGGCATTAATATTGTTAAATATTTTTATTACACGTAATAATCTAGATATAATGCAACCTCTATCAAAATACTAGTAACATACTTAAAAAGGTGATAGTTCCTTAGGGAAAAGGCAGTATCTTCAATAAATGATGTTAAGAAAACTTTATATTTACATGCAAAGCAATAAAATGAGATCACCTCAGAATTTAAAATAGTTACTTAAACGTAAAGCTATTAACTCTGAAACTAGTACAAAAGATATAGACTAAAACCCTCATAACATTGGTTTGGGCAGTGAATTTTTAAATTTAAGTTCAAAATCTGAGAAACAAAAGGAAAAATGGATGAGTCAGATTATTTCAGTATAAATCTGCTGCACAGAGTCTGATATAATCAACATTATGAGACAACTAAACAATGGGAGAAAGTATTTGCAAATTATGTGTATGATAAGAGAATAATGTAAAAAATATGCAAGAAACTCAAATGACTACACAACAAAAAACAACTATGAGCAGCATGCTGAATTTTTTTGTTTGTTTTGTTTTCTTTTTTGAGATGGAATCTGTTGAACAGGCTTGAGTGCAGTGGCACAATATCAGCTCACTGCAAGCTCTACCTCCCAGGTTGAAGCGCAATACTCCTGCTTCAGCTCCTCTAGTAGCTACAATTTTAGGCATGTACCACCATGACTAATTTTTCTAATTTTAGTAGACATGGAGTTTTGTTGTGTTGGCCAGGCTGGTCTTGAACTCCTCACCTCAGGTAATCCACCCACCTAAGCCTCCCAAAGCGCTGGGATTACAGGCATTAGCCACCATGCCCAGCCCAAGCTTAAATATTTTTCAAGAAAAGACATGGCCAAGAGATAAACTGAAAAATGCTCAATGTCAATTATTGTCAGAGAAAAATAAGCAAAAAATATCTATGAGATATTTATAAAATTTACCTATGAGAAAAACAAAAATACTACAACAAAAAGAAATACCTATGAGATATTTAAGTAAAATAAAAAGAAAACATTGGTAAAGATGTAAAGGAAACACTTGCACACTGTTGGTTTGAATGTAAATGAGGACAGACATTAAAAAAACAAAATAGACTTTTGAAAAAAATTTAAAATTTAACTACCATATAATCCAGCAATTGCACTTTCAGATATTCAAAATGAGAATGAAGAAATACTTGCACTTCTATGTTGTTCGCACACCCTTCACAATAACCCAAATATGGCACCAACAGTTCAACATCTAATACACATGCATATGGTATATGTACGAAACATAATTTTTTATTTTTTTAAATTGTTTTCAATCACATGGATTAACCTGAAAGATATTATTTGTTGAAATAAGCCAGTCACAGAAAGACTAGTATCTCATTCCACTTACAAATGGATACTTAAAAAAGTTAAACTCACTGAGGTATAGAGTAACATGGTGACCCCCAGGTGCCAAGGAAATTGAAAAAAAGAGGCAACTGGAAAAATGTCAACAAATACATAATTAGTTGTATAGGAAGAACAATTTCAAGAGATATATTATTGTTCAGCATGATGACTCTAGTTCATAAAAAATGTATATGTATGAAATATGCTAAGACAAGATCACGTGGTCTCATCAAAAAAGTTAACTCTGTTAGTTAACACATTTATTACACAGGGCTAAGTATTGGACAATGTATGTACACTTCAAAATACTATGTTTTAAAAAGTAAATACCCATTTCATCTGTCAAGTTAAAAAATATGTTTAAAACTTTATAGAAAGTAAATATTTCAAATATGATCTGTATTTGTCATAAACTTGACTGGATACTATTAATCACACATAGCTTTGTGCAGTTCTGTCATTTGTAAATTACAACCATAGAAACTTTGATACTTGAACATCATGCCATGGACCCTGCACAGTGCCTGAAAGAAGCCAATTTACTTTAGGGCTTTTAAGTTTGGGGCACCCGCAGTTTCTAGTGCTAATGCTAATGATATGGAAGACAATAAAAGGGCAGGCGGTCCCATGACTGCTGATGGTCTGATGACTGGCCACTTTGTGAACACAGTAAACAAATTTGCATGCAAAATAACATAAAATATTTTAATTCAAAAACTGGCATAATCTTCACATATTCTCCAAAGAAAATAATCAAGGATTGGCTACAGATAGGTGACTAAGTATAAAAACTGTATGCTGAACTTCACTGACAAAAAAATATATAAAATAAGTGAGAAAATTCTTGAAATTATATCGATATAAAAAATATTCAAATTTAAAATGTACAGAGATAATTTTATTATTTGGCAACCTCTAACATTCACACTTAGAAATTCTGCATGGAAACATAAGTTGTGCTGTAAGTATATCATGAAACACAAAAAATTTATTACTTACCACCAACTGTTAGAAATTTAATTACCAAGATACATTTTATATTTGACACATTTTATGTAAGAATCTTTTAAAATTTTTCTTTTAAAAATAAAGCTAAATAATTTAATTCTCCCACCCCCTGAGAATACTCTATGACTTTTATCTTTATCTGATGTCAAAGTTATACTGCTAAGCAAACGCTCCAGTTAAAATCGACTTATACTGCATTAAAAGTTTCAGGTCAGGCACAGTGGCTCATGCCTATAATCTCAGAACTTTGGGAGACCGAGGTGGGCGGATCGCCTGAGTTCGGGAGTTTGAGACCAACGTGACCAATATGGAGAAACCCCATCTCTACTAAAAATGCAAAATTAGCTGGGTGTGGTGGCAGATGCTTATAATCTGAGTGTCTTGAGAGGCTGAGGTAGGAAAAGAACCTAGGAGGAGGAGGTTGTGATGAGCTGAGATTACACCCTTGCACTCTAGCCTAGGCAACAAGAGCAATACTTCGTCTCAAGAAAACAAAAACTGCCGGGCGCGGTGGCTCAAGCCTGTAATCCCAGCACTTTGGGAGGCCGAGGCGGGTGGATCACGAGGTCAAGAGATCGAGACCATCCTGGTAAACACGGTGAAACCCCGTCTCTAAAACTACAAAAAAAAAATTAGCTGGGCATGGTGGTGCGTGCCTGTAATCCCAGCTACTCAGGAGGTTGAGGCAGGAGAATTGCCTGAACCCGGGAGGCGGAGGTTGCGGTGAGCCGAGATCGCGCCATTGCACTCCAGCCTGGGTAACAAGAGTGAAACTCCGTCTCAAAAAAAAAAAAAAAAAAAAGAAAACAAAAACTATTTTCTCATCAAAATCTACAAAGTACTATGTGAAATGACATAGAATAAAATCAAAAATTGAGAAAACTGTAGCCATAACACAGAAAAAGAAGGTCTGTAATGCATATGTAGTTGGAATACACATAAGAAGACAAAACTAAATAGAATCAGAAAAAAAAGACTTTCTCTTTAAATTCAGCAAGAATCAATTTTGCAGCCTGGAAATACTGTTCTCTCCACATGAAGAATGAATATTATTTCTTCACTATTGACATTTTCCATATATGATTTGACTTGCAACCTAACTCCAGGAAAAATATTTATGGCTTACTATGGAGCATCTGTTACATGAGAAGCACTATCACGTTTGCTTGCTACATTTATACATCAAAACATTCTTGCCAGGTATGGTGACTCACGCCTGTAATCCCAGCACTTTTAGAGGCTGAGGGTCGGATCAACGATGTAAGGAGTTCAAGACCTGCATGGCCAACATGGCAAAATCTTGTCTCCACTAAAAATACAAAAATTAGGTGGGCATTGTGGCAGGCACTTGTAATCTCAGCGGCTTGAGAGGCTGAGACAGGGAGAATTGCTTGAACTCAAAGAGATGGAGGTTACAGTGAGCTGAAATTGAACCATTGACCTTCCGCCTGGGTGACAGATAAGATTCCAGCTTAAAAACAAACAAACAACAACAACAACAAAAACAGAAGAGAACACAACCAAAAAAATTAAAAAATATCTAAAATCATCATGACTCATGAAGCCTCCCAAGTAATTCCCTGAATCTAATGGCTTAACAGATAAATTTACAAAAATCAATTATAAAAAGATAAAGGAACAATAACTAAGGAATAGTAGGCGTATAGAGGTTTCGCCAATTAAACACAATGAAACGCCCTAAAAAATATATAAAGACACAAATTATGAAATTATATCTAAAAATCATTTTGTGTGCCCTACATTTTATGATACTTACTAATCAATCACCTTACAATGAATACTCCTTACACTGTAAAGCAAAAACTAATTATAAAAAACAGGAAAAGTATGGGGTCTGTAAAATAATAAATAAAAGGTAAAGACACAGATTTGCATTTAGCATTATTGAAGTTTGAAGCTTCCTAGCAAACTAGTCACCTTATGAAAATGTTTTGTTTCAATATTGTATTTTCTGAAAATAGGTAAAACTCATGCACACACAAACACATATTCTACAGTTCTATTACAGTTACAAAATATCATTAGACTAACGTGCATATTTAACTGTATGTGAATCAAAACTAAAAGCTTGTATGTGTAGGTAGTTCACATGTTCAAAGAAAAATATATTAAAAAATTTTAAAAACACTTCTTTGGGACATAGAAACGTATTTTATTTATACTTTTATATAGTTTTTATTATGACCATAAAAATAAAAGATACAGCATGAAGTAAACTGTGAGTTGAATTATATCATTATTTACTTTCCAAAAATTAATCTGTAAGGCTTTTATTGAATGTTATAATTGAATGCAATTATAACACTCCAATTTTCTTTTGTTAAAGTTACAGAACAATAATTTATTTAACAACTTTAATTTTGGATGATGTTCTATATGCAACACTCTGATTTAGTGTAATGCCTGGAGGGTCAGCCTTAGTTATTTGTACTGTGAATTACTGATGTTGACATAGACTTAATTTTGAAGTAAATGTTGTTTTCATAGTTACTGCATCTGTAAACATATATTTTACTATGAACTCTCTGATGTTTTCTTAGCTATCATTTTTGAATAATTCTTTAAACTCATTACATGTATTGGGTTTTTTTCCAATATACTATAAATTCCCTGATGTTGAACAAGTTTTGAGAAATTCCTTCAGGTTCTTTTCTCTAATACAAACTCTGCACAATAACATCTATGAAACAAGTAATGGTACTACAAGCCTCTTTATATTTTTAATGTTCCTCTTAAAAATGAATGCTCTTCTTCACTTTAATGACTTATATTTTCTGAAAGCTATTTTGACAATAATTGCACTTACAATGTTTTTATTAAGTATAAACTCTTGGATGTTGAGTAAGATATGAGCCGGTATCAACAGCTTTTCCACTTGTTATATTTGTAGAATTTTCCTCGAGTATAAATGCTTTCTTGTGCAACAAAATGTGAGTACTAGCTGAAAGTTTTGTTGCATTTTTCAAACAAGTAGTTTTTTAGAGTGTCAATTATCTTACTAGCAATCAAGAGTGACAACTACTTAAAGGTTTTGACAGATTCTTAACATTTCTGCGGTCTAGGATCACTGTATTTATTTTAATTTTTAAGTTTGAAGTGTTGTGAAAAGACTGTCTCATCTTTCAGGTTTGTAGAGTTTCTCTTCAAAATAAATTATCTTATGTCTCCTGAGAATCGAGAAGTTGTAAAAGGCTTTGATACATTCTTTATGCTAGTATGATTTCTCTCCAGTATGAATTGTGTGTAATAAATGTTGAGAACTTGTTAAAGTCTTTGTCACATTTTTCACATTTGTTGGAATTCTCTCCAGTATGAAATACCTTATGTTTAGAAATGGTTAACAATATACTAAGGGCTTTGTCACATTCTTAAGGTTAGTAGCTTCCATCCATTGTGTATTATTTTATGTTCTGTAGGGTTTAAGAACTAGTTAAAAAGTCTGCCACATTCTTCACAAGCGTCAGAATTCTCTCCAGTATGAAGTTGCTTATGTTTAGTAAGGGATGAGAACTGGTAAAAAGCTTTTCCATGTGCTTCAGTATGAAATATTTTGTTTACTTAGTGCTGATTCACAAAAGTCTTTGCCACATTCTTCACATTTGTACAGGGTTTCTCATCAGCATGAATTCTGTTTACTAAACGTTAAGAATACACCAAAGCCTGTGCCACACCGTTCACATTTGCAGGATTTCTCTCCATTATGAATTGTTTTGTTAAGATTCGAGAAATGGTTAAAAGCTTTTCCATATTCCTCATATTAAGCTTCTCTGAAGTATAAATTCTCTTGGCTTGATGGCTGGTTAAAAACTTTGCCACATTCTTCGTATTTGAAGGCTTTCCCTCCACTATGAATTCTCCTAAGTGTAGTAAGGTGTGAGGACCAGTTAAAAGCTTTGCCACATTCTTAACATTTGTAGGGTTTCTCTCCACTATGTATTCTCTCATGTGTAGTAAGGATTGATAACCGGTTAAAAGCTTTGTAACACTCTTTACATTTGTAGGGTTTCTTTCCAGTATGAATTATCTTATGTCTAGTAAGGTGTGAGGACCAGTTAAAAGCTTTGCCACATTCTTTACATTTGTAGGGTTTCTCTCCACTATGTATTCTCTCATGAGCAGTAAGGATTGATAACCGGTTAAAAGCTTTGCCACATTCTTTACATTTGTAGGGTTTCTCTCCTGTATGAATTATCTTATGTCTAGTGAGGTCTGAAGAACAGTTAAAAGCTTTGGCACATTCTATACATTTGTAGGGTTTCTCCCCACTATGAATTCTCTCATGTGTAGTAAGGATTGATAGCCGGTTAAAAGCTTTGGCACATTGTTTACATTTGTAGGGTCTCTCTCCAGTATGAATTATCTTATGTTTATTAAGGTCTGAGGAGCAGTTAAAAGCTCTGCCACATTCTTTACATTTGTAGGGTTTCTCTCCAGTATGAATTATCTTATGTTTACTAAGGTATGAAGAACAGTTAAAAGCTTTGCCACATTCTTTACATTTGTAGGGTTTCTCTCCAGTATGAATTTTCTCATGTGTAGTGAGGATTGATAACCACTTAAAATCTTTGCCACATTCTTTACATTTGTAGGGTTTCTTTTCAGTATGAATTATCTTATGTTTACTAAGTTGTGAGGAACACTTAAAAGCTTTGCCACATTCTTTACATTTGTAGGGTTTCTCTCCACTATGAATGCTCCTATGTGTAGTAAGGATTGATAACCACTTAAAAGCTTTGCCACATTCATCACATTTATAGGACTTCACTCCACTATGAATTCTCTTATGTTTAGTAAGGTGTGAAGAACAGTTAAAAGTTTTGCCACATTCTTCACATTTGTAGGGTTTCTCTCCACTATGTATTCTCTCATGTGTAGTAAGGATTGATAACCGGTTAAAAGCTTTGCCACATTCTTTACATGTGTAGGGTTTCTTTCCAGTATGAATTACTTTATGTCTAGTAAGGTCTGAGGAACAGGTGAAAGCTTTGGTACATTCCTTACATTTGTAGGGTTTCTCTCCAGTATGGATTCTCTTATGTTTACTAAGGTGTGATGAACAGTTAAAAGCTTTGGCACATTCTTTACATTTGTAGGGTTTCTCTCCAGTATGAATTCTCTCATGTGTAGTGAGGATTGATAACCACCTAAAAGCTTTGCCACATTCTTTACATTTGTAAGGTTTCTTTCCAGAATGAATTATTTTATGTCTACTAAGGTGTGAGGAACAGTTAAAAGCTTTGCCACATTCTTTACACTTGTAGGGTTTCTCTCCAGTATGAATTCTCTCATGTGTAGTAAGGATTGATAACCACTTAAAAGCTTTGCCACATTCTTTACATTTGTAAGGTTTCTTTCCAGAATGAATTCTCTTATGTCTATTAAGGTGTGAGGAACAGCTAAAATCTTTGCCACATTCTTTACATTTGTATGGTTTCTCTCCACTATGAATTCTCTCATGTATAGTAAGGATTGATAACCACTTAAAAGCTCTGCCACATTCATCACATTTGTAGGATTTCTCTCCACTATGAGTTCTCTTATGTTTAGTAAGGTGTGAAGAACAGTTAAAAGCTTTGCCACATTCTTCACATTTGTAGGGTTTCTCTCCACTATGTATTCTCTCATGTGTAGTAAGGATTGATAACCGGTTAAAAGCTTTGCAACACTCTTTACATTTGTAGGGTTTGTTTCCTGTATGAATTAACTTATGTTTAGTAAGGTCTGAGGAACAGTTAAAAGCTTTGGCACATTCTTTACATTTGTAGGGCTTCTCTCCACTATGAATTTTCTCATGTGTAGTAAGGATTGTTAACCGGTTAAAAGCTTTGCCACATTCTTCACATTTGTAGGGTTTCTTTCCACTGTGAATTTTCTCATGTGTAGTAAGAATTGATAACCGGTTAAAAGTTTTGTCACATACTTTACATTTGTAGGGTTTGTTTCCTGTATGAATTAACTTATGTTTAGTAAGGTCTGAGGAACACTTAAAAGCTTTGGCATATTCTTTACATTTGTAGGGTTTCTCTCCAGTATGAATTTTCTCATGTGTATTAAGGATTGATAACCGCTTAAAAGCTTTGCCACATTCTTTACATTTGTAGGGTTTCTCTCCATTATGATTTCTCCTATGTTTAGTAAGGTATGACGAACAGTCAAAAGCTCTGCCACATTCTTTACATTTTTCGGGTTTCCTTCCAGTATGAATTATCTTATGTTTAGTAAGATCTGAGGAACAGTTAAAAGCTTTGCCACATTCTTTACACTTATAGGGTTTCTCTCTACTATGAATTTTCTCATGTGCAGTAAGGATTGATAACCGGTTAAAAGCTTTGCCACATTCTTTACATTTATAAGTCTTCTTTTTAGCAAGTCTTATCTTATATCTATTTGAATATGAAAATGTATAAAAGACCTTTACATATTTGTAACATAAATATGTCTTGCTCTGTGTAGCCATCAAACATTTCTTAAGTTTACCATAAACTCTTTTGTGCATTTTACAACCATCCACACTTTCACAGACTTTTCTTAGTGGTACATGTTTATCTCCACAGTTTCCATAACTTCTCAGTATCACTTTTGGAAATAATTTTTTTGTGTCCTGCTCTGGCAATAGGTCTTGAGCAAAATAAGAACACATAACTGAAAAAAAATAAAAATAACAAATTACTCCACTTGCTAGACTAAGATTTGTTTACTCTATATATCTAACCCATGAAATTATACAAACTGCATAAGCAAGATGGCATAGAAAAGTACCACAGGCCCAACTTTCTTCATAGACATATAAATCCAACAAAAAGATACTGACCAAAACACATTTGTGGAAGATTTGTAAATAAGTTACTTGTGTTCAGTACCCCAGGTGAGCACAATGCAAACAATCACATAGAACAAAATGTCTGTTACATTTACCCTACACAGACCCAACAGAGCTCTTCCTGCTCCCCAAACATGATGTAGTGTCTTTAGAAGTAACCTGTCAACTTGTTTTTTTATAACAAAAATAAACAAATAAATAAGTAAATAACATAAACCCCAGTAAAATGATGTTTCTATTTCTGGCTTCTAAGAGTCTTTTCGAGCACTGGTTTCTGTCTTCCATGGCATTAAATACTAAAAAAAATAGTGGTGGCTAATATGGTTTGGTTCTGTGTTTCCACGTAAACCTCATTTTGTATTGTAGCTCTCATAATTCTCATGAGTTGTGGAAGAAACCTGGTAGAAGCTAATTGAATTCTGAGGCTATATATTTTCTAGGTTTTTCTTGTGATAGTTAACAAGTCTAACAAAATCAGATAGTTTTTATAAAGCAGAGTTCCTTTTCCCATGCTCCCTCTCTGACTGCCATCATGTAAGATGCCACTTTGCTTTTCTTTTGTTTTCTGCCGTGATTATAAGCCCTCCACAGCCATGTGAAACAGTGAGTCTATGGAACTTTTTCTTTATAAATTATCCAGTCTTAGATATATCTTTATTAGCAATATGAAAGCAGACTACTACAGTAGTATTCTTTGGAATGACAGTTTGAGTCACTAAAACCAAAGGTAAATGCCACAGCAGTAGAGAGATTGCAGTACTACACAGAGAAAACACATGTAGCAAATGAGGACTGGCCATTAAATAGAAACACTAAGAAATTTCTTTAACTAAAAATAAACAAAAAAATTTCAGAGAAGATACATCGTAAGAACATGTCTGAGAGACTCCCAGAATCTCTAGCTAAAACAATTAGTTTCAATGTATGTCAGAAAAAAAGCTACATTATAAAGACTGTGACAGGTAGATTTTCTTTAAATGTCCAAATCTCAATCAAAAATTACAATGCATAGAAAATGTTGCAGCAAAATAACCTCATATAAAAATTATAAACTGTTCAGAAAGCAACTATAGAAAATGAAGATGTATAAATTTTTAAAAATTTAAATAAATTAAATACTCAGTGAATGAAAGAGAAACACAGACAACTATAAAGAAATTATAAAACTAGAATAAGCACAAAAATATTAAAAATATCAAAAAATTATAAAGGCAAAAGATATAAAAAGTAAAAAAATTCTAGAGGAGCAAATGATGAAAAAAGATAGAAGCTCAACAAATAAACTAGGATACGCACAAAGATATTTATAACAAACACACATATAAACACAATTTTAAAAGTCACAGATGAAAAGAAAATCTTGGGTGCCCCAAGAGAAAAGTGATGTGTCGTTTACAAGCATAGTCCTTTAAGATAATCAGTGAATTTGCCAATAAAAAATGTGCAGGCCAGAAGAAAACTGCTATAGTCAAAGTCCTGAAAAAAAAAAAAATTGTTAAATGAGAATAATATCAACAGCAAAACTGTTCTACCAAATACCAAAAAAACTAAAAAGAAACCTTCCAAAATAACTAACTTCTGAGAAAGTATATTGGCACTGCATGTTTGCTACATATCAAAAATGATAAAATGAGTTGTTTTCACTGAAAATAACATGATTCAAAAAAACAGCACCTAATTACTGGAAAATACATTCTCAGAAAGATATACACATACAAAGAAATTGAATTCTTTAGCATTATCATAATCATGAAAAAAATTTTTAAATTATTCTTTAAAATTTATAAAAGTCTAGAAATATTTATAAACATGTTAATAAATGTAAAACAGAAATATAATTAGTAACATAAATGACAAATGAGAGTAAATGTAATAGAGAATACTTGCTTGCAACTGAAGCTATTTTTTAGAATTTTAAAGTATATTGCTGTATCTTTTTTTTTTTACAAAGGTAATCAAATGTCAACTTTATTTACTGAAAACTATAAAAATAGCATAATAAGTTTGCTCTTATTGTAACCTAAAATTCTGAAAGCCAGAAAATCTAATTATCATGCTCTAGCTAAAGTAGCTAATGCTTTCTTTATCCACAAGTAACTTTCACTTCACGGAATTTGGGCTTCTAAAACACATAGGAATACTTGTATCTGTAGGATTCTGTTGGGAATACTTATATCTGTTGGGTCAAATTAAACAGTAGAGCTGAAGTTATTCAAATACATTCAAACTACACAGATCCCTTATAAATTAGCAACATAGTAGGAAGAAAAAGATACAAGAAAAATACATCCTAGAACTCATTAACAAAATTATTGGTGTATTGTCTATACTAGCAGAGAGTAGGTTTCTTGGTCTGCTATATAAAATTAACAGCAAGAAAAAAAAGTGCAAGAATAAGGTTTATGGCTGAAGTGGCTTGGTGTCATAGTTCCTTATTCCAGCATTCTCAGAAGGATCTCATCCTCTAGACATGCAGAAACTGCAGGGACAGTATAACATTCCTCTTCTTGATGCATTCTTAACTTTCCTAAGCCCAATTTTCGTTAGTGTCCTTTCATACTTCCTAGGACCTCTGCCTAATAACATGTATCTGAATCTTGCCATCCTTTCTCTCTGCACAAACAGCAATGAATATTGAAAACTAAAAATTTACACTGATAAAATAAAGTTGGATAATTCTCTTGAGTTGTATACAAAAAAACAGTTTAAATAAAATAGACAAAATAAAATAACAAATCTCTTAGAAACAAAATAAGGGAAAGACATGACATTGGTCTTGGCAACATTTTCTTAGATATAACAGTAAATGCAGGAGCAACAAAGGAAAGAAGAGAAACATTTAACTACATTGTAATTCAGTATTTCTGTACATCAAAGAAAACATTCAATAGAGTGACAATGTCTTTTAGAAAATGAGTGAAAATATCTACGAATCACATGTGATCCGAGTTAATATTCATAATATAGAAACAACTCTTAAAATTTAAAAAGAGTTGACTAATTTGATTTAGAAATGGACAATTAAATGAAATATTAGAAAGAAGTATTTGAAAGAATATAAAAAATTACTAATTGGTAGAGAAATGCACAATTATAATGAAAACGAAAATCACCTCACACCAATTAGAATGGCCATAATAAATTTTTTAAAAGCAGCAAATTCATTGATGATGCAATATAAATAAAACACATGCTGACTGTTGGAAGACAAAAATACAGTCATCATTTAAAAATGTTATGAATGTTTCTCAAATAATTAAACATAAAAATATCATCAAATACAGCAATGTCAATTATGAATCTATATCCAAAGTATGCAACTCGGGACCTGGAAGATATATTTAACCACCTATGTTTATTGTGCCACTATTCACAAAAGCCAAAAGGCAGAAGCAACTCAGTTATTTTTTGATTTATATACACACCAAAAAATGTAACATATATGTATGGTGGAATAGTATTTAGCCTTAAAACAAATCTTGTCACATTTAAAAATCTTAGATATTAAGATAAATCTTGATAATATTACCTAAACTAAGCCGGTAACAAAGCATTGAATACTAGATGATATCATTTACATGAGATATGTCAAGCAGTCACATTTATAAAAACAGAAAGGGGAAGAAGGTTTCTCAAGGGCTGAAGGGAGGGTAAAAATGGGCAGTTGTTTCAGTTGTTACACGTTTTGAGTTTCAGTTTTACAAATGTAAAATTTCTGGAAGTGTTTTGAATAACAATGTGAATATACTTCACATGCCTAAAGTATGCAGTGTTTTTGTTGTTGTTGTTGTTGTTTTGTTTTGTTTTTAAAGGAAAGAGTAAGGCCAAGCGCAGTGGCTCACACCTGTAATCCCAGCACTTTGGGAGGTCGAGGTGGGTGGATTGCCTGAGGTTGGGAGTTCAAGACCTGCCTGACCAACAAGGATAAACCCGGTCTCTACTAAAAATACAAAATTAGCTGGGTATGGTGGTGCAAACCTGTAATCCCAGCTACTCAGAAGGCTGAGTGAGGCAGGGGAATTGCTTGAATCCAGGAGGTGGAGGTTGCAGTGAGCCAAGATCACACCATTGCACTCCAGCCTGGGCAACAAGAAAGAAATTCCATCTCAAAAAAAGAAAAGAAAAAAAAAAAGGTAGAATATTACTCTCATCCAAGATTCCAAGATGAAGTGTTAATGGCACAATTATGTATCACTGTAGCCTGAATGAAACTCCCAGGTTCAAGTAATTCTGTCCCATCAATCTCCCAAGTTTCTGAGACCACAATCCCAGCCACACGTGGCTATTTTTAAAAATATTTTGTAGAGAGTAGTTCTTTATATGTCTACCAGGCTGGTCTGAATTTTTTTGGGCTCAAGCACTTAGATAAAATATTTTGAAAATAATAGAGCTATGATGCCTTTTAGCTCATGGCTGTCACTCTAGTGGGATGCTTAGCCCAGCAAAGTGTGGTCTTATAAATCTCATAGTAGGTCATTGCCTCTGGAAGGAAAACAAAAAGTGACACCAGTTCCTACCTAAAGTTAGAGACATCTGACACTCTGTAATTGAATCCCAAAAGGGGAAACCCCTGGCAGAGATTCTGAGGTCTGGTACTAAACCTTACTCAGAATTTTCTCTCAGGCTGGGCACGGTGAATTATGCCTGTAATCCCAGCAGTTTGGGAGGCCGAGGCGGGTGGATCACCTGAGGTCAGGAGTTGGAGAGACCCTGACTAACAAGGAGAAAGCCCATTTCTACTAAATGTACAAAAGTTAGCTGGTCATGGTGGCATATACCTGTAATCCCAACTATTTGGGAAGCTGAGGCTGGAGAATTGCTT